GCTGGCTTCCTGTCTTTCTCTGTGTGAGTGTGTGTGTGTGTGTGTGAGTGTGAGTGTGTGTGTGTGTGTGTGTGTGTGTGTGTGTGTGAGTGTGTGAGTGTGTGTGTGTGTGTGTGTGTGTGTGTGTGTGAGTGTGTGAGTGTGTGTGTGTGTGTGTGTGAGTGTGAGTGTGTGTGTGTGTGAGTGTGTGTGTGTGTGTGTGTGTGTGTGTGTGTGTGTGTGTGTGTGTGAGTGTGTGAGTGTGTGAGTGTGTGTGTGTGTGTGTGTGTGTGTGAGTGTGTGTGTGTGTGTGTGTGTGTGTGTGTGTGTGTGTGTGTGTGTGTGTGTGTGTGTGTGTGTGTGTGTGTGTGTGTGTGTGTGTGTGTGAGTGTGTGTGAGAGAGAGTATGTGAGTGAGTGTGTACATGCCTGTACGTGAGTGTGCTCACAAATATATGCAATGCATGGCCCCACCTTGACCGCTGTGTTCCAGGAAGAAATTAGACCGTGTTTCCAGGAAGCCCGCACGGCCACGATCAAAGTGCAGCGCGGGGCGACAAACATTGTACCAGGATTAAGCCGGCGTGTTTAAGCAGGGCGGACTGAGGGCTGCAGGACCACCAGCTCCTCCGCCAAGACATATCTTGGTGGAGGAGCTGACCAACCATTGACGGTCAACCATTGACGCCTCTCAACCATTGACGGTTGAGAGGCGGGACCAAAGAGCCAGAGCTCAACCCTCGCAAGCACAATTAGGTAAGTACATCTGATCTCTTACCGCCAAGATACATCTGACCTCCTAAGAGACACTTTAAGATATCGAACAAGAGTGATAACATAATCCCCCAATCCACAAGAGATCCAATGGAGCAAAGACAAGAGATAACAAACTTCAAGCTATCTATGCCACACAGCTAAACGGAACACATCTGACTTTTCCTCCGTCGTGTAACAAAGCTCTTGAACAAAGTACTGGCCGTAAGGGGACGGAGCTGGACCCGCACTGCTGTGTTCCAGATACACAAGGGAAAAACTAACTCAGCGCCCGGTATTTGGAGGACCCTGCCCGGGCCGCGGGCTTCCTGTCCCCGCCAGGGACTCTAGTGAAAGTGACCAACAGGTGAACACAGGTAAATCAATGCACTTGTGAGTGCGCGGTTGTATTGTATTCGCCTACAAAATACAATAGCAGCCAGCTGGAATAAAATATGTACCGCGAGTCACAAAATCAAGACCTAACAAGCGCAGAGGTATACTGTATTAGTATACAGAGGTATACAGTAGTATACAGAGGTATACTGGAGTAGTACAAGAACTACGAGGCCAGTCTAAGGGAATTAAATCTCACCCTCCTAGGAAAAGAGACGGCATGGAGGAGGCACAGCTACAACATACAAAATACTGAGAGGTATAGACAAGGTAAACAAAGAGAGCCTCTTAGAAAGTAAGGCAAAACAAGTAAACAAGCCTCACGGTTCAGCACTTAGCCCCTACGACTAAACAAGACAATCCAGAGAGTTAAGCACTACTCAAGATGAACAGATGAGAGCTGAGTCACTGAGAAACGTCTTAAGCGATAACTGTTATCAAGGAATGCTTGGGGGCGGGGGGGGGGGGGACACAGACGTCTTCATCATCGTGATAACAAGCACTTTCTTCTAAGATACACAAAGTCGTAAGTGCTCCGAAGCAGTCGGGACAGCAAGTGCTAGGCTTCGTGTCCCTTAAATCTTCACTACTGAACACAGTGTAGTCGCTACACTGAGAGAAGAAGCAGAAGTCGTGGGAGCCACCTCCATCCACAACATTAAGGCCAACCAACAAGGCGAACGGCGGGAAATTTCGAATAAAACACACTAGGTGAAGCGAATACAGCAGGCGCGGGGCTCAATGACCTGGACCTGACCTCTCCACCGTCACTGTCATGGGGCTGCTGCTAGGTGAGCACCACCATCATCACCATCACCACCAGCACCACCATCATCACCATCACCACCAGCAGCACCACCACCATCATCACCAGCACCACCACTATCACCACTATCACCACCAGCACCATCACCACCACTATCACCAGCACATTACAGCGTGACGCCAGCGCTCAATAACGCAGCTTCACCTTGTCTTGTCACTATCAAGAGCTTACCGAAAAAAAAGGATTAAAAACTTACGACGTCCTCTGACGCACATCGAGGGCCCCCGTCAATTGTGTTGACGGAATGCCAGGAAGTGTTGTGATCCAGACAGGAGGAGGAGAAACGGAGAAGGACAGGAGAGTAATGAACAACGACACGAATGCGTTGTTCCTGTCTGTCTGCTTATCTGTGTGTCTGTCTATCCTCTCTCACTCACTCTCTCTCTCTCTCTCTCTCTCTCTCTCTCTCTCTCTCTCTCTCTCTCTCTAACACGTGTGTCTGTTCCCCCTTCCGGTCTCTGTGTTCATTGTCTGGAGTAACTCCACAATTACATACTTTTAGCGAACGTGGTAAAAACTCACCTAATCTGGGTGAAGGTAACAAGTGTAAAAGAGTGATAAATACAGCGAGGAGAAGGAGAAGGAGGAGGGAGGAGAAAGAGTAAGAAGGTGCGAAGAAGGGGAGAGAAGAAAATTAATTAGTGACAAGTATAAAATCTTGTCCCCCTGTTAGATGAACAATTCATTTGGCGAGATGTAAATTTGTTTGGATTTGTCTCAGTCTCTCTCTCTGTCTCGGAGACCAACGTGGAACGTCACAGAGGACCACGCAGCACCACAGAGGACCACACAGCACCACAGAGGACCACACAGCACCACAGAGGACCACGCAGCACCACAGAGGGTCACACAGCACCACAGAGGGTCACACAGCACCACAGAGGACCACGCAGCACCACAGAGGGTCACACAGCACCACAGAGGGTCACACAGCACCACAGAGGGTCACACAGCACCACAGAGGACCACACAGCACCACAGAGGGTCACACAACACCACAGAGGGTCACACAGCACCACAGAGGGTCACACAGCACCACAGAGGGTCACACAGCACCACAGAGGACCACACAGCACCACAGAGGACCACACAGCACCACAGAGGACCACACAGCACCACAGAGGGTCGCACAGCACCACAGAGGGTCACACAGCACCACAGAGGGTCACACAGCACCACAGAGGGTCACACAGCACCACAGAGGGTCACATAGCACCACAGAGGACCACACAGCACCACAGAGGGTCACACAGCACCACAGAGGGTCACACAGCACCACAGAGGGTCACACAGCACCACAGAGGGTCCACACAGCACCACAGAGGACCACACAGCACCACAGAGGGTCACACAGCACCACAGAGGGTCACACAGCACCACAGAGGGTCACACAGCACCACAGAGGGGTCGAAATTTGTCTCCCGCCAATTTTTGGATCCAAATGTTGCTGTTCAAACCTATTTCTAAGTCGGGGTTATAAATATTGTAAACAACAGAGGTCCCAGGACACAGCCCCCAGGACACTCCCGTACGGGCTTAACTTTATGCTAACTCTTTATTTTATTGTATATGACCAATCCCTAATCCAACTTAGGATACCTCCCCCCTTCTCCCCTCCCAATACCACAAAGTTCTACATTTTGTTAAGAATTCTCTCGTGAATTCGTAGTCTTAACGGCTTTAGTGAATCCAAGACATAGAATGTCACAATCCTTCCAGCTATCATCTGCTTGATATATACTGGAGAAGAACAGGTCTACATTTGCTCACCACGAGCGACTCTTAGCAAAACCATGTTTTGAATCGTTGTTTTTTTATCTGTTTTTCAAGATGTTAACGGATGGGGTTTTGCAGATATCGAATGAAGCAATTTTTCCTACAATAGATGTTAAGCTAATTGGATGATAGTTCAATACATCTGATGTCCCCCTTGTTATAAACCGGCACCACATTAGCAACCCTCCATGACTCCAGTACTCTGCTCGACTTCGTTAAGTTATTAAATATGCAAGATAAGAGGCTCACTAAGTTCTATGCATTCTTTAAGGACCCTGGCAAATGCTTCCTCTGGCCCTACGGGCTCACCATAGCCCGTGATACTTGGAACTTTTTGTTCCAAGTAGTGAATCTTGAACAACAAACAAGAACAACCTGGGGGACTTGTTGGGATTTAATTCCTTCTATGTAACCGGTAAACTTGTCAACTTGTCCTCTTCACCACCTAGAAGAACACGTTCTTTTCTTGTAAGTACTGAGACAAGGTACTTGTTGAAAATATCGCACACACTTCATTGTCATTATCAGGTGTCTGGCCAGTCTTGTTTTGCCATGGCCGAGTCTTCTCCCAAATCTTGGCTGGATATATCTGAGGGACAAAAACATCTTGGAATTTGCTTGACCTGGCCTGCTATATGCACTTCATAGTTCCTCTTAGCTTTGGTTCTTTTTCTTAACATTTCTAACTTGTTTCTCAAATAATGTTCTGGTAACTTGAACCCATGATATCGATGAACCCTAAACCCTTAACTCGATGACCTAAACTTATGCTTTCAACTGCTGGTATAAATGCAAATGTATTTACCTTTACACCCTTAAACTCAATACATTAATCCCTAAAATTTTTGCCCTAACTGTGAATCAACCCATCAGTAGTGCTACTTAAACTTTCTGACTCCCCAGTTGGGTCTTCAAACTGGTGTGTAAAACTCCAGAGTGAGTTTTTGGTAAACTTGAAATTGTAAAATTGTTGTCTGACTTCAAGCAAAAAAAATAATTAGCCTCTCAAGTCCCGCTTGGGGTCAACTGCAGGTGTTTATAACGGCATCTTTAAGTACTGGTTGAGGAAGAGTGATTGACCTGTGTGTGTGGGGATCCAGCCCCCCCCCCCGGGGGGGGGGCTGGATCTCCCAACCCCCCTCTTCTACACTTTTATCCCCCAGCACTATTGAACTGCCTGACACTCTTCTCTTCTTGGGGTTGGGGAATTCTTATACCCTCATTTCCCCCTTTGTGTTGGGGGTTCCCTAGTCCCCCTCCCTCTTCACCAGATGGGAGAGTTGCTAGTTCTTCCCATCCTCACTGTTCTTCTCAGCACCTTCCCTACTTCTTCCCTCCAGTCACCTCCAGTCACTTCCAGTCATCTCCCATCACCTCCAGTCATCCCCCATCACCTCCAGTCACCCCCATCACCTCCAGTCACCACCCATCATCTCCAGTCATCCCCCATCACCTCCAGTCACCCCATCACCTCCAGTCACTACCCATCACCTCCAGTCATCCCCCCATCACCTCCAGTCACCACCCATCATCTCCAGTCATCCCCCATCACCTCCAGTCACCACCCATCATCTCCAGTCATCCCCCATCACCTCCAGTCATCACCCATCACCTCCAGTCATCCCCCATCACCTCCAGTCATCCCCCCATCACCTCCAGTCATCCCCCATCACCTCCAGTCATCCCCCATCACCTCCAGTCATCCCCATCACCTCCAGTCACCCCCCATCACCTCCAGTCATCCCCCATCACCTCCAGTCACCCCCCATCACCTCCAGTCACCCCCATCACCTCCAGTCATCCCCCATCATCCTCCAGTCATCCCCCATCACCTCCAGTCACCCCCATCACCTCCAGTCATCCCCATCACCTCCAGTCACCCCCATCACCCCCAGTCTCCCCCATCACCTCCAGTCATCCCTCCATCACCTCCAGTCATCCCCCATCATCTCCAGTCATCCCTCATCACCTCCAGTCATCCCCCATCACCTACAGTCACCTCCAGTCATCCCCCATCACCTCCATCACCCCCAGTCACCTCCATCACCTCCAGTCATCCCCCATCACCTCTAGTCATCCCCCATCACCTCCAGTCATCCCCCATCACCTCCAGTCATCCCCCATCACCTCCAGTCATCCCCCATCACCCCCAGTCTTCCCCCATCACCTCCAGTCTTCCCTGCCCATCACTCACCTCGCTTAAAAGATAATTAATTCGGGAGCTTGAGAACTCAAGATATTTTTTGCCAACTTCTCCAGAATGCCAAGGTTGGTGGTGTGGCCGGGTCCCCTTACTGGGGACACTGTCTCTCTCAGAGGGCCCCTTACTTCGCCTCTGGGCCCCTATCTCACTCCAGGGCCCCCCTTACCTCACTCCAGAGACAATTACTTGGGAGTGATAGTGACTCATACACCATATACAACGCTGTTGTATACAACGCTGACTTTTCTCACTTCCTCGTGTCAGTCGTCGACACAGTAAACACTTCCTCGTGTCAGTCGTCGTCACAGTAACAACTTCCTCGAGTCAGTCGTCGTTACAGTAAACACTTCCTCGTGTCAGTCGTCGTCACAGTAAACACTTCCTCGAGTCTGTCGTCGTCACAGTAAACACTTCCTCGAGTCTGTCGTCGTCACAGTAAACACTTCCTCGAGTCTGTCGTCGTCACAGTGACAACTTCCTCGTGTCAGTCGTCGACACAGTGACAACTTCCTCGTGTCAGTCGTCGACACAGTGACAACTTCCTCGAGTCAGTCGTCGTCACAGTAAACACTTCCTCGAGTCTGTCGTCGTCACAGTGACAACTTCCTCGTGTCAGTCGTCGTTACAGTAAACACTTCCTCGTGTCAGTCGTCGTCACAGTAAACACTTCCTCGTGTCAGTCGTCGACACAGTAACAACTTCCTCGTGTCAGTCGTCGACACAGTGTCAACTTCCTCGAGTCAGTCAGTCGTCGTAAACACTTCCTCGTGTCAGTACAGTAAACACTTCCTCGTGTCACTTCCTCGTGTCAGTCGTCGACACAGTGTCAACTTCCTCGAGTCTGTCGTCGTGAGATTATAATTCTAAATATTTTGTATAAGTTAAGACCACGAATGGAGTTAACAAAGACAGTGTCGACCCAACTGTAATATATCACATTTCTCAAGAACGACACACACACAGCCCTCTTGAGATCTTGGCCCATCAACCGGTTATAAACTGAACCTGTGAAGGATGGGCACGTATTCTAAAAGGTCAATCACCAGTCCCAACTGGTCTGGAGATGACGCAGCAGCTTAACTTCTACCAAGTGGGGCTTAGAGACACGTGAAGACTATTGGTGTTGGTTCTGCTTATAGCGATCAGCCAATCCTGGATCGAAGCCTACACCTCGATCCAGGATGAGCCAATCCTGGATCGAAGCCCCCCCTGAACGGTGGTTATCTTATGTTATGCTATTTCGTACTAAGACATAGATTCTAGCAGATAGTTATATTTCCAGTCACATTTGGTATATATATATATATATATATATATATATATATATATATATATATATATATATATATATATATATATATATATATATATATATATGTCGTACTAGTAGCCAGAACGCACTTCTCGGCCTACTATGCAAGGCCCAATTGCCTAATGAGCCAAGTTTTCATGAAATAATTGTTTTTTCGACTACCTAACCTACCTAACCTAACCTAACCTAACTTTTTCGGCTACCTAACCTAACCTAACCTATAAAGATAGGTTAGGTTAGGTTAGGTAGGGTTGGTTAGGTTCGGTCATATATCTACGTTAATTTTAACTCCAATAAAAAAAAATTGACCTCATACATAATGAAATGGGTAGCTTTATCATTTCATAAAAATAATATTATGGAAAATATATTAATTCAGAAAAACTTGGCTTATTAGGCAAATCGGCCATGCATAGTAGGCCGAGAAGTGCGTTCTGGCTACTAGGTACGACATATATATATATATATATATATATATATATATATATATATATATATATATATATATATATATATATATATATATATATATATATATATATATGTGAGCCACCTTAATATGTAAATATCACTGGTTTGCATAACAACTAGTGTCCTTATCTGACCTTTTAAAATGATTCCTGGTGTGGGTTTCAAATGGCAGTATTACCCCTGGTGAAGGACAATACTCTCCTTGGTAGACAGTATATTGTTCCTCTTGATAGACAATATTACCAATCAAGATATATAGTTCTGCACTTTTTGGTAGATAATGCTGTCCCTCTCAGTATGTAGTATTGGCCCTCCTGAGGGAGAGACTTCTCCATCTCGATAGAGAGTGTTGTTCCTATTAATCAATATCACCGTCTCGATAGATTGTATTGATCTTGTTGGATTGTATTGTGTTAACTTCAGAGACAATACTTTATAACCCAACACACACACACACACACACACACACACACACACACACACACACACACACACACACACACACCTGTTAAATGGTAAGAGGCGACGTTTCGGTCCATCCAGGATCCTCATCATGGCACAAACTTAATTGGGGCAACAGCACGGCCCGAAACGTTGACAGGACTTGATATATAGGTCAGAGAAGGACCGAAACATCGTGACTGTCGGGCGATGAGTCACAATAACGTGGCTGAAGTATGTTGACCAGACCACACACTAGAAATTGAAGGGACGACGACGTTTCGGTCCGTCCTGGACCATTCTCAAGTCGATTGTGAGAATGGTCTCACAATCTCACAATCGACTTGAGAATGGTCCAGGACGAACCGAAACGTCGTCGTCCCTTCAATTTCTAGTGTGTGGTCTGGTCAACATCGTGACTGTCCTTTCACTTGTGTGGACTGACTTAATAGTTTCATCCCCCCCCCCGTAATTGTGACCAAATTCTCTGGACACATCTTTATTGACAACTGCACATTTCCGTTGCATAGGCTGCATGAAGAAGTTGGCTTCATTTCACACCGGTTAATGTTGCAATGCAGTGTTGCGACATCTGCCCGTGTGTTGCTTGGACCCATTGGACCAAGTGTGTGTGTGTGTGTGTGTGTGTGTGTGTGTGTGTGTGTGTGTGTGTGTGTGTGTGTGTGTGTGTGTGTGTGTGTGTGTGTGTGTGTGTGTACTCACCTATTCACCTATTTGTGCTTGCAGGATCGAGCATTGACTCTTGGATCCCGAACGTGTGTGATCCCGAACACACACACACACACACGCGTGTGTGTAGGGGGGGGGGGGAGGGGGGTAAAACTTCGCGTTACCTGAACACCTAACAACGTAGGGTATCTGTTGCTTAATTGTTAACTGATTGTTAACTGTTATTTGTTAATTGTTAACTGATTTCACACAGTCGAATAATATTTCTTTTTTTTTGTTGCAAGAATCAAATCAAATAAAATCCAAAAGTTGATTCATCAATGTTTGAAGGTTTTACAAAGTGGGTTTACACATTGATTCTTTGTTTATTAATGTCCTTCTTGATCAATCAAATCAGAAACTTGATTAATCAATGATTGAACATTTGTGAGTTAGTTTATACAACATTACAACATATTATTAACATAAGAGAAAGTCACCCTAACAGCATGACACATAATCATTATAATCATATACTATCTTCAGATGATGAGTGATTTCGGAACTTAGCGTCCCCGCGGCCCGGTCCTCGACCAGGTCTCCTTTTTGTTACACACCCCCAGGAAGCAGCCCGTAGTAGCTGTCTAACTCCTAGGTACCTATTTACTACTAGATGAACAGGTGCACAAGGGTGAAAGTAACTCTGCCAATTTGTTTCCGCCTCCGCTGGGGATTGAACCAGGAACCTTAGGACTACGAATCCCGAGCGCTGTCCACTCAGCCGTCAAGCCAGACCTCTCAATACCGTTCAATCCAGATTACAATTTAGGAGCTGTATTCCCGAATGATTTATACAAATTATTACAGCTGCGGCTGGAGGGTACAGGTGTTACAGCTGTGGGAAAACTGTAATTATAAATGATAAATAATACACGGGCTCACCATAGCCCGTGCTACTTGGAACTTTGTTCCAGGTAGCTAATCTTTAACAACAACAACAGATATATTATAGAGCAGTTAGACTGACATGTGTGTAAATCATACGTGGTAAAACTGAAATGATGAAAAGAGAATTTGATGAATTTGAGGAAACGGTTATGGGAACTGCGCTCATTCACCGTGAGTGAATGAGTGCAATATATTCACTTATATTCACTAATATAAGATATGTGTGTGTTTATCAAGCAGAATGTTTAGTACTACGTTGGTTGCTTGTGACGTGTGTGTAAATACATAAACACGTGGTCACGAACGATTGTTCTTGATGTATGTGTAAATATACATACACGTGGTCTCGGACGGAGGGTGAGAATAACTTGAGTCACCTTACCCCTTTGTGTGTGTGTGTTACATCTCAATATACATATAACAATGTCTTGTTTCAATCTTGCGTTGATGGGGCCAGCGCTGCCTGAGTGAGTGAGGGGGGGGGGAGGGAGGGTGTTAGTCCTGGTCATACTTATTACACACACTCATCAGTCATGCTTATTAATCAGGATTATTAAGTATACTTATTAATATAATGCTAGATCTTTCCTATTGCGCTTGGCGTTATTAATACTTTAATTTGAGCTACTGTGCACTCAGGTAGAGCTACTGTGCACTTGGGTAGAGCTACTGTACACTCAGATAAGGCTACTGTGCACTCAGGTAAGGCTACTGTGCACTCAGATAAGGCTACTGTGCACTCAGATAAGGCTACTGTGCACTCAGATAAGGCTACTGTGCACTCGGGTAAGGTTACTGTGTACCCAGAATGTACATCCGCATTAGTTTCCTTTGCTGTGGTATCGAGAGACGGATTTTGGCTGAGAAACGTGGATAATCGCCGTGGATGGAGCAGGTTCTGGATAACCGCGTCTCTAGAAGAGTCTTGTGAGGTTCAGGTTCTCCCTGTCAAGCAGTGTCTGCCGCCTCCAGCCTGGTTACCGGTGACTACCGGACACTGTGTCTGCTTCCCCGTGAATAAGACATCTTACATATTATTGAAGATGCCAGACCCAAGAAAAGGCACAAGCTGAGGGCTATTATAAAAGGTAGATTCACTGACATTATCCTCATCATGGTACAGTTGGCTCAAGGGAACACGGCGGGAGGGTAAAAGTCTTGAAGAT